ATGTGGGGTGAGACAATACTTTGGACAAGTAAAGTACCTTTTAAATAAGGTAACCCGCATGAAATTCTTACGAATTGTGGGTACGCAGGAAGTTTTCCTACGAATACCTGAAATGTGGGGGTGTCTTGCCAAAGGCGTTTTGGTTCTTAGTACACGAGTCCTACGCTCTGGATGTACATAAGAACACAATAAATTGAATCAAGAAATTCATCGTTCCTTAGAAGATGTATTCCCGTGTAGGTTCAATAAAGGACTTAGCACGTTGAAAGGAACTTTCGGCGTAGCTATGATTGAAGGGTATGAAAGAGAACCCGAGCTCAAAGCTAGACGTAGCAAGAGAGCTAGGATTGAAAAATCCTTTGGTCCAGATTTTCTGACATACATGTTAGAGTGTGATGCGCACAATCTAACTTGTTTACTAGAAAATAAACTAGATTTTCTGACACAGTTGTTAGAAAGCGAGCCTCGAACATATGTAGAAGTGATGACTTCTACAGATGGACCAACCCGAGAGAGGCTACCGAGAGTGAAGTAGATTCTATCTTAGAGAATCATACTTGGAACTGGTTGTTCTTCCTCCGGGTTGTAAAACATCGGGATCCTAAGTGGATCACTAGTCGAAAGATAAAACCGGTTGGTTATATCGAAGTAAAATGGCCGAGCTTGTAATTTTAAATTACATGCAACGCGAGTGCCACATTTACTTCAATATATATTCTCTTGTGATGAGAATGAAATCCATTAGGATGATACTTCCCAAGAGCTGTTTAGCGAGACTTGGTAGTTTATCGAAATGGATGTATCGCTTTCTTAATAGACATGGAACAACCCGAGGGTTTCGTGGTTCCGCGCTATGGAAAGAAAGTGTGTAACTGGTCAGATCATTGTTTGGTTTGAAGAAACAATTGCCTTAGTACTTGGCATGTAAGTTTTTATCATACAATGATGTGTCACGAGTTTAGTATAAACAAATGTGATAAATGTCTACGTAATGCGTACGATAGACGAGGTTATCACTATTTGTCTATACACGATAAACTCAACGTGGGTAGTAACGATCGTGTGATCAATTCTACCGAGAACATGTTAAATTTGAGATTTGACATGCGATCAAAAATGGGGGCTTGGTAGATTTAATCTTTGAGATTAAAATTGTGAGAAGACCGTGTGGTCTCGTGTTAAGCCAATCTCATTGTGTTGATTAAATCCTTGCAAAGGATGTTAATCAAGTGGCTTGGACACCGTTAGATACTAACGTACAACTAGCCAATAATCACGAGTATTGTACTTCTCATGGAGAATACATTCAGATTATTGGTAGTTTAATTGTATCCAATGGGTTGTACTAGGTCGGACATTGCCTTTGCGGTTAACGAACTCGGTAGATATACGAGTAACCCTAGTGTTGCGCACTAGAAGGCAATAGCGCAAGTTATGAGATACTTAAGGTATGCTCGTACTCTAGACTGCACTACGTGGGATATCTAACTGTACTTGGAAAGTATAGCCCGGATATCAAAGGACGCTAAGTCCATCAAAGGCTACGTCTTTACGTAGGCCAGTGCAGTTGGTTGGACGGAAATTCTCGAAATGAATTTGTGATAGCTAAGATCCGACGGGGTCAAAGCTGAGAGCCTTACACTCGTGTCGCGAGCGAGTAGGCCGAATGGCTATGCCGTTATTTCGAGAATGTTCCTAGTGGTAAACTCGTACCTCCAATTTGTGTGCATTGCGATAGTCAATCCAAAATTGGTTAAGTACAGAGTTAGATGTGGAATGGTAAGTCTAGACTTATAAGTCGTTGACATAATACCATTAAACAATTTCTCACAACAAGGGTTATCTCTATTGACTACGTGATGTCAAAAGATAACGTAGCGGCCGCTAACTCGCTAACCCGAGGGTAAGCAAATGGTTGTGGAGAAGTTGGAACGAGGAATGGGTCTAAAGCCTTTGGACTAAAAGTTCTATAGTGGATACCCAACCTAGCTGGCACCTAGGTTCAATGGGACAACTAAATTATGGAACGGAGCGTGTCACTGTGGGGGCTCGGACTCCCTACCACTCCTCATTAGAACAGTGACTCCCGCGCAAGGTTAGCATGTTGATGCTTTAATGATTCGAATGTCGGTTGACATGTGTGAGTAGGCGGGATACTCGGAAAAGAATCACCTATGTGAGAGAGAAGTGAGGGTCGCTTCAAAGGAGAATTGATGGGCACAATTCTTCACAAACTCTTGCAGAACCAGGACGGTGACCCACGACCAAAATGGGCACACTCATGAGAACAGAGCATGGTTGGGAGGTTCCTGTGTGAGATATGTCATCGTCTACACAAACGGCAGTCGGTTCAAAGACATCGCGTTCTACCGTACAGCCAGTAGAGTAAACATATCTTTACAAGGGAAGGTTCAAAGGGTATAGTGATCCCTACCTATCCTATGCAGGGATCGACCGTTGAACACAGTTGTTTCCGATTTCAAAATACCCTGAAAATCAATTTTTCATTCATGTGGGGGATTGTTGGAAAAAATGGCTTAAAATGGCATAAGATAGCATATTAAGTGGCTAATTTGTGGTACAATTATCAGTGGGGTCCACTTCCGATTTGGGTCGGGTCAAAGTGGATTCGGGTTCTTCGTAGTGAGACGAAGAGATTGATATATTGTACGCTCAAAACGGATAATGGGTGAATGAGATATTGATTCTCAAAGTAGACCCGTTTGAGTTGGAAAATGAAGGGAAAAAGTGAGCTTTTGTCCCACATTGGTTTGGGAAGAGGATTTGCCCCACTATTTATACAAGAGCTCATTTTAAGCTCATTGAATTGTATAACATAGAGGCTTTCTCTCACGCGTGGGGGAGAGTGCAAATCAAATCCCAGAATAAGATTAGAAAGGCTTGGATCAAGCCTAATCTCGTGTGCACGAATGTGCGGGCTAAGTTTCGGTGTCATTTTCCAATTCAGTCACGAAATGAAACTTGGATCTTGGTTTCACTATTTCGTGTTGGTGAAACAATGGTTTCACTGTAAGGCCACATAATAAGAATGAAACAATGTTTCATTGTAATGCATGAAATAATGTTTCACTGTGGGCCACCACGAATGAATGAAACAATGTAATGCATGAAACAAGGTTTCGTGTGGCTCCCTTGGCCGAAGCCGAAAGTAGTGGTTTCGGGCAAATTATTGTGTGGACCATGGTCCACACAATGTTATGTGGACCATAATATAAAGTACATTTTTAATATACTAAATGTACATTATTTTTGTACTGAATGTACATTATACAATATAATGTACACTCAGTACAATATAATGTACATCTCCTGAATATAATGTACATTATTTTTGTACTGAATGTACATTATTTTATAATATACAAAATATGGTCTACACAACTTGTATGAACCATGGTCCACACAATAATAATTGTTGGTTTCGGCTAATGGCCGAAACTACTACTTAGGCAGAAAGTTTGGCCTGAAGCTTTTGTTTGTGACTGTTGGGATTTAATTCAGCTGTTATGGAATTAATTTTTGAATTAATTCCAATTTTAATTTTGAATTAACACCCATGTTAATGGTTGCTGTTACAAGAGACTTAGGGATGCCCCTAAATGCCATAATAAAGGCTATTCACTCCTCAATCCCTATATAAGAAGGGGTAGAGTGCAGCAGAATTTTTCTAAGGAAAAAGTAACAACAACACACAAGAAAAATATTTTTCCAAGCCTCAAAATACTTCTGCTTCTACTCCATTCTTGAAGCTGTGCTTTTGCCCGTGCTCTTGTTCGCCAGGTTCGTTCGTTTGGGTGCTCAAACGTCGAACCGTTGTACGTTTTATCCTGGGAAGCCAAGGCCACAACGCTCCTAGCACTTTTGGGAGGTGACAAATAAGGTTTTAAGGAAAGACAGGCACTTTGCCTAACTCGTACGAATCTTTCTTCCTTCTCCTTCTTTCTTGTTTTGGATTATGCTTTTAAGCAAAAATCCGTTCTTTCTTGTTAATTTGGAATTATAATCTAAGGATTATATTTTCTTTTTGGTTGATATATATTGGTATATCTTTTTCGTAGATATACATTTATATATAACCGTTGGGTCCGTCTTATATATATTTGTGTGTATATATATATTTCGGATATATATATATCCAATAATATTTTATATATATTTCGTGTGTATATATATAAATATTATTTTACGGATATTAAATCGATTGTGGTTCATTATCACCAACAGTAGTTAGGCATTATTGCTATATATGTATACTTATATACTCGTGAGTTACTTATCTCGTATCTATGATCTTAATTGGCTAACGTGTTAAGTGTGAAATAATCTATTTTCCAAACCTATATCTATATAGTGTACTTTACAGGATACAGTGGTTTATACTTAGCATTCGTCTAACGGGTTGCTTTTGTATACTTTTTACTTAACCCCTTTCAGGTTTGACCAGTGATGGCTGAGCGCGTTAGATAGTGCTAGTTATTATAGAGTTGATGCTAGTTCCTAGCTGTTAGTCAAACCTCTTAGACTTATCTGATGTTAGACTTTGAGTAGTTTAGTCGTTTACCATTATTATGTTTTGTAGTGCGTTTGACACTTAGGCCTGAGTGCCTTAAGTTATATTTTGAGCTTAGACTTTGAATTGATTTGGTTTAGTGGGCCCTTATGAATGAATGTTGATGTGGAATATTAGTTCCTTTCCCGTGTAGTTACACTGTGGAAGGTGACTACGGAGTAGGATCCCTTTTTGGTTGTATGATTCGGGTAATTAGTATATTACCCCTTTCCTTATTCCGGATATCTATCTCTTAAACTATGGTTATTACTAGGCTCAAGTGTGTGAAAACTGGGGGTGTTACAGTTTCGCAATTTCTTCTTTCTCGTCGGTTGTTGGTTCTCCTTCGCATAGTAGCAAAGGTCGCCGGTTCTCCTTCGTACATCAAGTACACCTCCGCCGATGGCTGTGAAGAATGATGCCAGAGGCCTGCCAGAAGATTTCCACCGCTGCTGTCATCCAGATCTGTAAGCTAACATTTTCAGATCTATAATCTACAAAATATTTCATTTCCCCCATTTTTCGTCATCATGCGCCATTTATATCTGTAAGCAAAAGAGTAATGGTCAAATATTGATGTTCAATATGGTGGCATTCTATTTAGGGACTAGAATGTGGAGAAGGGGAGCTAACCTAGAGGGTAACACAGCTAAGTGTTTTACTTCCCTTTGAACTTTTTTACCATTTTACTCACTATTATGAAACTTCTTTTGCTTTTCCATAAATATTTTGAAACAGGTTCGCATTTGCTTACAACTTTTGATAAAAAGGATCTCTGCTCAGAAGGTCTTTCTTCAAATTTACTTTGTAAATTATATGTGGGGATGTCACTTCTTTGCTCTTCACTTAATTTCTTAGGTATGTTTTTGCAGGAAAAGAATACCAACACTTGAATAAAGAAAAATGACCTTGAGCATTTTTAGTGACATTGCAAAGCAATGCAGAGATCATGGTTTAAAGCACTGTGGCAAGTATTCCATTCCTGTTCTAACTTCTAAGCTTGCAAGGACACAAGCAGCAGTTGCCATTCAATTCGTTTCTCCTTCTCCGATTCACACAGCAGCGGTAGTTGTTCGTTTCTCCTTCATTAGGTAATTTTCCAGCTTTATGCATTGTTTAATTTATGTTTATACATAATATGTCCTTGACATAATTGTGTATTATTGTATTACAATAACGTTTTTCATTGACAATTTCACGGGATTTGAAATCACTTACCTGTTGGAGGCAATTTTCTTTGTTACTTGTTTTGATTCCTACAGTCACTTCCTTTCTAAAGCATTTTACTCTGCAGTGCCAACATTTGTAAAACTTGATAAGTTCCTACAGTCCCCATTGATGATAATACTACTTATTTTAGTATTAATTTGACTGTATCAATAAATTTTTAATGTGATTTTCAAGTAGTTTAATACAGAAACAGGAATTATCTTCATGACCAATTTGCAGTGTTGGTATGTATCTTGTCATATTATATTCCTTTTTTTTTATTGCCTTTGAATTGTTCTATACAAGTGACCTATTTGCAGTGTTTTTATGTATCTTATTGTGTTCTGACGGCTAATTATGATGGAGTGTTAAATGTTTGCATTCATGTTTTTAGTTAATTTTAATAATGTGTTGATACTTATATTTGTTTTATTTATTCATTTATTTAGTAGTTTTGATAGTTAGTATATTGATAGAGTTTGGTGTATGTAGTGTGCAATTGATTGTGGTAAAGTGTTGAATTGATAGAATTGAAATATTGATATCGTGGTAAAGGGGTGAAAATATTTGTTAACCCTCTTCACAACTTTGATTATGAAGCTAAAAGGAGCAGATCAGAAGGGGAAATCAAAATATTCCCAGTGGAGGAACTATGATGATATAAATGAATACTTTTTTATGTGAAGTACGAAGAGGAGAGAGAGAGAAAGTGAACTTGTTTTATTCAATGTGTCAACAGAAGCCAGGAGAAAGCATTTGTACAAAAGGAATTGGAGGTAAAAGGCGGTTACAACTAATCTATAATGAAAATTACTATTCAACCCTTTTATTCTTCTCCAACACCCCCTCCACCCGGTAAGGTGGCGCATGCAGGTTCTGGATGCCCAGCTTAGACACAAAAGTTCTGAACATTGTGATGGGTAAAGGTTTAGTAAAACCATCTGCTATTTGATTTGTTGATGATACTGACAGTAGCTTAATTAAGCCTTGGGAGACCTTTTCTCGAACGAGGTGGCAGTCTATCTCGATGTGCTTCGTTCTCTCGTGAAACCCTTTATTTTCGGCCATAGCTACAACAGATTTATTATCACAGAATACCACTGCCGCATAGAGGTCTGCATGCCTGCAAGTAAAAACATTAACCATTGTACCTCACAAACAGAAGAAGCGAGAGCTCGGTACTCTGCTTCAGATGAGGATCTTGATACCGTTGCTTGTTTCTTTGATTTCCAAGAAACGAGCGAAGAACCAAGGAAAACACAAAATCCAGTTATGGACCTTCTCGTTTCTACACACGCAGCCCAATCGGAGTCTGAAAAAACATTAAGCTGTAAGGCATTGTCCTTGGGATTGAACATACCTTGACCTGGTGTCCCCTTTATATACCGAAGTACTCTGTGAGTTGCACTTAGGTGCTTGTCAGTGGGAGTGTCAATGAATTGACTCAACTGTTGCACATCGTAAGATATGTCCAGTCTCGTGGCCATGAGATATAAGAGACGTCCAACGAGTCTTCTATAGCCATTGACATCATTGAGTGGTTCACCATCCGTGTGGTTGAGATGATAACCAGGAACCATTGGAGTACTTACAGGTTTTGATTCAAGGAAACCTGCTTCTGCTAGGATGTCTAGAGAGTATTTCCTTTGATAGAGATTCAAGCCTTCATCATCTAATCTCGCTTCAATCCCTAGGAAATACCCTAACTTCGCCAAATCTTTAATCTTGAAAGCATTATCAAGCACTATTTTGAGATCACTGATTAGGTTCAAATCAGGACTAGTGACCAATATGTCATCTACATACACGAGAACTGCTATGAAGGTGCCATCTTGTCCTCTAGTAAACAATGACGGATCAGCCTTGGACTGAGTTAACCCCATACTAGACAGAGCAATGCTTAATTTTGCATTCCACTGGCGGCTAGCTTGTTTAAGACCATAGAGAGATCGGAGCAGTTAACACACTTCGTTTGGCTTCTCAGGTTGAAAACCGGGCGGTATGATCATATAAACTTCTTTAGTCAAATCATCATGTAAGAATGCGTTATTTATGTCCAGTTGATGAATATACCAAGCCTTCGAAGCTACAATTGCTAGGAAGGTCCGAATGGTTGTGATTCTAGCAACCGGTCAGAATGTCTCAATATAATCAACCCCTAGTTGTTGGGTGTACCCTTTTGCCACAAGACGTGCCTTGTATCTTTCAACTGAACCATTAGCCTTTAACTTCACCTTATAGACCCGTTTGCAGCCTATGGGTGTTTTCCCTGCAGTAAGAGTGGTTAACTCCCATGTTTTATTATCCTGCAGTGCTTGGATCTCTGTCTTCATATCTTCCCTCCAATGTTGATCTTTAATGGCTTGGTTGTAGGACTTTGGTTCATTAGCAGAAGTCACAGCCATAGAAAAACATTTGTGTGATGGTTCAAGTGCATCAAAAGTTATGACCTTAGAAAGAGAATGTGGAGATGGACCTTTACTGATCACAGCTTCACAGAGATAGTCTTAAGTCTGTTTGGAAACTGCCTTTGTCTACTCGATCTTCTTGGTTGAACCTCATCATCATTGATTGTCTCATGTGAGGTGTGATCACACTGATGTATTGCATGCATGCTCTCATTATTAGTTCTGGACATACCATCAGAATTTGAATGCTGTGATAAGATCCCTTGGTCTACCACCCCATGCTCGACTTCATTAGCAGTATTAGAACTGGACTGCTGTAAACCTTACATAACATATTGCACCTAAGTCCTTCTACACATGAACTCCAGAAGAGTGGTAAAATTCTTGTTGAGAAAGTTCGTTCTAGTGAATAATCTTGCAGATATGTTCACTAAGTCTCTGCCTACATCCACTTTTGAGTAATATGTTTATAAAATTGGGATGCGTAGGCTTTGAAGATTGTTATCTTCAGGGGGAGCGACAATCCCTAACTGTGCTAGAATGGACAATCTAGAGTACTTTTGAAATCCTGAAGATTATGCTATGCAAGCATATGGTTGTACTCTTTTTCCCTTACCTAAGTTTTTCCCCACATGGTTTTCTTAGGCTAAGGTTTTTAATGAGGCAACCGATGTTGGTGCACTTGAGTGGATAGTCTTGAAGACCCTTGAAATCTTGAAGATTATGCCCAGAAGGCTTATGGTTGTACTCTTTTCCTTGACTAAGTTTTTTCCCACTGGGTTTTCTTAGGCTAAGGTTTTTAATGAGGCAACCAGTGCAACACATGGATCAACATACTTCGTGTACTCTTTTCCTCGTCTAGGTTTTTCCCACTAGGTTTTTCTAGCGAGGTTTTTAACGAGACATGAGTATAGTTATTTAATGGCCAAGGGGGAGTGTTATAAATATTTTATTATTATGGCCATTAAACTTTTGACCTTTTGTTAGCCTTTACTTATTTCATTACTTATGTTAAAGGATGTGAAAGGTTGTAATCATCCCTATAAATTGAGGGTGATGGCTTAATGAAAAGATGGTCTCATGTGATTGTGTTCTATACATTGTGTTCTTCCTCTCCCTTTTACTTATCTATTCTATATACTCATATACATACAATCTCCAAGCATTACCGTGCAAACATCATGCGAGAACTAACGAGTTGATAGGTCGAATTACAACAATATGGAGTTAATTCCAGCAATAGTCCTCTGACTATTGTGATTTTCCAAATTTGGTCCTCGTCTTTTAATCTAGACAAAATAAACCCTTGACTATCAAAAGTGTTCCACCATTAGTCCTTCCGTTAACTAAAAGTTATATAGACGTTAAGTTAAGGGGTAAAAGGGTCTTTTCCTAGTTATCTTCTTCAATTCTCCAGTGAAGCTCTCTCTGCTCTCTCTTCATGATTCAATCTATGTTCGGAGCATCCCGAGAGAGCTCAAGCTATCAACCATGCTGGTCTATCAGGATTTACTAACTGGTTATGAGCTTCTCTCTAACTCATTTTTCTACAAAGAAATTGAGAACGGGGTTCTGTGGGAAGTTGAGGGAGAGTCAGTGTTCCAGGGAGCAGTTGAAGTAGATATTAGGGCAAACCCATCTGCAGAAGGTGCTGATGAGGATGAGGGAGTTGATGACCAAACTGTTAAGGTGGTCGACATTGTTGACACTTCCAGACTCCAAGAGTAACCTGCCTTTGATAAGAAGCAATTTGTAGCATACATTAAGAAATACATCAAGTAAGAAGCAATTTGTAGCATGCAATTTGTAGCAATTTTTTGTGGGGGATAGCATGGCTGACAATAGCACTCTTGTGTTTGCTTACTACAAGGTGGTTCCACAGACCCAACATTCTTGTACTTTGCCCATGGTCTCAAGGAAGTTAAGTGCTAAATGGCGGTGACCGGTGCAAGCAGCTCTTCACTGGCGACAGCGTGGAGCAGTGGCGAGCTTCCTTCTCCGACGTAGCAGTTTTTCCAGCAGCATGAAGGCGTCCTCCAATCCGACGTGAGCAGATCAGCGTAGCAGCTTGGTTCTCCTCGGCAGTTTCGGCCTCCAATGAGCTCCGGCAACCTTCTGTTGTAGCAGATCTATTTAGCGGCAAGAAGTAGCAGCGGGAGATCTAGCGAAGTTGATGATGATGCTTTCCGGCAGCGTGGCGGCTACAATGGATCCAGCGAAGGTAGCTTCATGCTCTGGTTCCCTCTTAACGTTGCAGCAGTGGTTGGCAATGACGCTAACTAATAGTGGCGGCGGCTAGATCTCCCCAGCGAGTTGCTCTCTCACTGAGCTTCCGGTGACCCCTGTTTTTTCTCGACGAACAGAGCAGGAGGCAACGACGGACTCCTCTCAACATGCTTTCCGGCGGCGCGGTGGCTACAATTGACACAGCAACCACCGTTTCTTCTCGGCGTTTGGACCTTTCCGGTAGTGAAGTAGTAGGAAGTATACACTAACACCTAATTACGGTTGTATAATTTGCTTAAAGACATAGCTAATGAAATGACCATTTTATCCTCTACACTAACGCCTAATTAATTGAAAGTTAACGGAAGGACTAATGTTAGAACAAATCTGAAAGTCAAGTGTCTTTTTCGTCCAAATTAAAAGACGAGGACCAATTTAGGAAAATCACGATAGTCGGAGGACCATTGGTGGAAGTAACTCTCCTATATGCATCAGAAGTTAGCATACTCCTGACGCATATAGTATATTTTTAAAAAATAATACTATAAGCGTTAGAAGTTCCGGAACTTAAGACGTGTATAGTCATTATGTGCGTCCAAAGTAACCTATGATGTAGATTGTTCATACAATTTGCGTCTCCTACATATGCGTCCAAGCAACTTTGGACACGTATTGTACATTTCCTAAGACGCGTATTATTGTTTCTGTACTAGTGAATCTGACTAATGAAATATTATTCGGTTTAAGAATTTAAAATGATATGGGTCTAGGGTTAAATAGGTATAAAAAAAAAAAAAATTGGCAAGCTCCTCTTAGATAGACTTTTGGGTCAAATTTTTGATAAATAAATATATCCTTTACATTAGGCTTTTGAAACCATAAATAATTATATAAATATTTTGTACCAAATTATTTGAAATAAAGAGTTTAAAATATTTTATTTGTACACCCATTTAGCAAAACCATTGTAGGAGTAAAAATTATATAAATTATTTTATTTTGAAATTTTATTTTAGATAAAAATATTTTGGGGTGTCACAGCACCACTCTAACCTTTATTGGCCGGTTCCTTCTGTTCTTAGGAGAAATTTCACGTCTAACAATGTCGATTGAATTTGAAGCCATACGTACTTGGTGTAATAAGATATTTATGCTGATTTGTACTCTGTCAAGATTCAAATGTTTATAAGCGAGAGGAAATTTACATCTATACATTTTGCTTAATGAAGTGTATAAATAAGACTCTACATCAAATATGTTTTGCAAAATTTTCCGTTTAATTACACAAACCTTCCATATTTGAAAAATCTTCCTTTTATAAATAGGGTTCTATATCTCTTCCTTATAAATAATATATAGGGATAAACCACATCTACGTGAGAAAGCAAGGAAATAAGCATTGAAGGTGACAATTTAATGAACTTAAGCTCACAAGTAGATTCAAATCAAGAAGAAAAACGTGCACAAATAAGCTCACATCAAACGAAGACGAGTGATATGTGTTCCTCTGAGTGTGGAAGTTTTTATGGACGATGGTGGGTGCAGATGAACGGATGTGGGGTGGCCTCCCTCCCCGCCCCCCCCCCCCCCCCCCCCCCCCCCCGCCCCACGAATCCGACGGCATCGAACGGCTGAATTCGGCAGGTTTTCTTTTAAGTTTTTTTTTTAAGTATTTAAATTAAATGCCAAGCAAACAACATTAACTGGTTACTTGTTAAAAATGACAATTGCACATTTTTAACAAGTTTAAGAGTTTAATAGAAGGCTTTTTTAGTTCGAGAGGTTAATTGCACTTTGGTATATATTTAGAAGGTCTATTTGACCCTTATCCCTAATACTACTTCTATGCGCGCATTGCGCGAATGAGTTAATGCCCAATGTTTATAATGAAATAAATATTTGAAAGTATATCAATGGAAGATTATATATGAGAAGTTCATACATAACTAATTTAATGTCGAATTTGTTTATTTAAATATGTAACGCATAGTATATTGAATAGAATGTAATATAGAAGATTCATTATAATTGTTACTAATTTTTTTTTTAAATAGTAACCAAGTATTTTTGTTGCAAAGGGTTCTATTATATATAATGAATGCACATATACATACAAGATCAATGAATGAATCAACGGTATCAGCCCTTTAGGTGTTTTGCTTAGTGTTCATTTAGTTCAACCATTAGTTTTGAATAAATTATTATGGATAGAGAAATTCCTAATTGGCAATATGATATAACCCAACAATCAAAATGCTAAAGAAAATGTTTGGTTATTCAACAGTTTGAAACAACAATTTGTTTCAAACCACTGAAAATACAAATATTGCAAATTACAATATTTTCAGTTAGCGTTTTTTAGAATGATTTCTCCAATACACCTCTATATTTAAAAAAAAAAAATATTGTGGAATCATTTCGACTCCTTAAATAACAAGAGCCAGTTCCGCTGACTCACTGCTTGTCCATCAACGGATGGGAAAGCTTAATTTTTAAATTGGAGCCTTAAGGCTCCTTTTATAGGAGCCTCAAGGCTCCCATGCCACTTTTCCCACCGATGTGGGAAAAGTGGTAAAACTAAAAAGAGCGGAATGTTCGGCTTCCCATATGTTTTATTTATTTTTTAAAAAAATTTATTTCTTTTTAAATTATTATTATTATTATTTTAAACAATTATTATTATTATTATTATTATTATTATTATTATTATTATTATTATTATTATTATTATTATTATTATTATTATTATTATTATTATTATTATTATTATTATTATTATTATTATTATTATACCCTTAGGTCATTTTACATGTTAATCTAAACTGCTAATTTTTCAAATATCTTTTTTCTCACCGTTGATATAATTCGCTAGTCAAATTCGCTAACTTCTGATTGTCAAGCAAGGACATTGCGAGGTAGTTTCCCACTTCAATTTGTTGTGTGATTTGAATACTCTCTTTGTGAACAAATTCCTCGAGTAGTTAATATGATTGGCTTTATTAATTATATATTTTTTAATCTTTTCATGGTATTAATAAAATATTTGGTAAATAAATATATGGCATTATTCTGTATTATAACTTTGATATTTAATTTAAAAATAGTGCACAAATTAGATAATAGAGAATGTAGTGAATATAATCAATTGATGAATTTGAATGTATAGAATTCTTACATTGGAGAAAAATAAAGACAATATAACTAATGAAATTATTTCTCCCTTTTAAGCAAAATAACCTTATTATTAATTATTAATAAAAGTTTGGGCGAGAAACTACACAGGATGATTTTATTTTTATTAATATTATAAATAAATAAGAGATAAGAGAAGTACGTATTGTTTTGATTAGTTTTTACCCATAACCCTTTGAACTTAACTAAATTTAGTCTAATGTAATATATGTTCTCATATGACATAAGGATGATATTTGGTGTAAATGCGATATTTCAAAACGTTTAGATGAAATTTGATCAATTTGTAAACGTAAAAGTAAAAATGTTGTTATCTCTATATATATTAAAGCAAAATAATAGGAGCAAAAAACTCCCGCCCAAAAGGAACGACGCCGTTTTGACATAGCCGAAATATTTATTGTATCTGCGTCGGAAAACGAAGGGCTTGTGCAGTGTAATACTTAAACTTTATAGAAACCTACGTTTTTAAAAATATCTATGGTAGATCTAGCTCCAATCCAATGAGATTAGAGAATGTATTTAATCCCATTAGTTCCCCATATTGAACATTGAGCCCACGAACCCATACGTATTCCCTAGGTATTAATTTCGAAGGGAAAAGTACGAAAGGTCATCAGACCTTATATATACAGCACATATACACACTAAGTTATTGCACAGAAAAAATATACAGCGGCCTCTCTCCTTCTTTTTCCCTACAACAAGATGTTCATCCTTGCTAGCCAAATATCTCCAATGAACACCAGGCAGGCTCTTAGGCTACGGGTGGTGCGAGTATATCAGATACCTGAGAGAAGTGATCCATCTAAGATTAGATCAAAAGAGATAGTTTTTCATGATGAAGAGGTAAGTATATTCAAATACATCAACAGTATGCAGTGCAGTTTAGGGTTAAAAATATATGTTTTTTATTTTTCACAGTTGCTATGTATGAGATATATAAACAAAGCTCCTATTTATGTTATTTACATATACACAGGGTTCCTTCCTGCATGCTCATGTACCCAAAGAATATGTGGATAAGTACCTAAGTAATTTTTTTGAAGGTTCAGTTTACGCTATAAAGAATTTTTGTGTGATCACTAATTTCTACTCATACAAGACCAGCCCACAGAAGTACATGATTAAATTCAATTATCAGACTATGGTAAAGGATTTAAAGAATGCGAAGTTTCCTATGAAAATGTATCGTCTGAAGTCATTTAGGGAGATCAAGTCTAATGAAGGCCTTGATGAGAAGCACTTCTTTGGTAATCAATTGGTATCTTTTATTTAATTTTCTGAATAATCGATTTTGTTAATATTATTTTATTATACTCTAATCCACTATTTTGTAGATGTGATTGGTCGAGTTATTGAGATTCACTGCCCACAGGAGAAATTGATTAATGGGAAGAACTCTAGGCTGATTGACTTCACCATTGAAGACACTGAGTATGTTTTTTCCTATTTTCATTCTATTTCTATTATATTTTTACAGTTTCTGTTCTTCTAATCTCTTATCTAACATTTTACAGTGGTATAGGATAGTGTTTTTTTTTTCCTATTTTCATTCTATTTCTATTATATTTTTAGAGTTTCTGTTCTTCTAATCTCTTATCTAACATTTTGCAGTGGTATACAATTGATGTGTACTTTGTGGGATGAACACGTAAGCAAGATCGAGGCATTCTACAATTCTACTTCACAAGAGCCTTTATTGGTGTTGATCCAATTTTGTAGGGCTAGGGTGTGTCTAAAAAGTAAGTACATAACAAATTTTAGTTTCTGCCTAACTTATATTATTATTTGTCCATATTTGCAGGCATTCCTTTGAACCTCTCCGGAGGACGGAGGAGAGAAGGCGAGGCAACAGATGAGAGAATGTCCGCGAAGGTGCGGGGAGGGGGCGCGGCGGCCCCCGGAGGCGCCGTCATAGGAAGGCGAACAGAAGCGGAAGCGCAGCACAATTTGCAGAGTGATTTCTATCTAACCTTTTTAAATTTCTATCTAATTAGGTTTTTAGTCAATGCTTATTCTTGCACTACTTATTCAATTAGTCCCTAATTCTTAGTGAATTTTGTATAACAATCACAGTATCAGTCAGGAACAAACTCCAATGCGCAGTATTATTTTGCAATCGAGTTTTAAGGAATGCAGCTCATATTCAGTTTCCCTATCTGGTGATATGGAAGTCCGTACTATCAGTGAAATATACAGAGACAAGGAGGTAATCTCTATATTTAAAACCTATTAGTTGTTACCTTAGTCAATATACAAAGACAAGGAGGTGCTTCAGATTTCCATGGTAGATATCAATGCCAACTGCTTTAATTGTAATCTGCATGAGCATAATATGCATTATGAGAATTAACAAATATACTATTTGGTTAATTGACTAAAATTGAGTATGACTTTAAGTATACCATTGGATGCTTACCTGATTGAGAAATAAATAGTCTTTAAATATATAGACTAATACTGTGCAGGTCATGCTATGTAGGCATCTCAAACCTGCACAATGAGAGACAATATAGAACTTAGCATCCCATTAATACAAATTAAAACGATATATAGTAAGTATTAGAGAGACTGTTAGTGGGTGCTTAGCTCATTGTGCTGTAGATATGCTATTATCTCTATAGCAATTCTCTGTTGAAATATCAATGCCAATGCTTGATTTGTAATCTGCATTTAATAATATGCATGAGATTTGAAACAAATATAATACTTGGTTAATTTAATAATACTGTGAAGTATACCATTGGATACTTAGCTGATTGAGGAAATAAATAGTCTTTAAATATATAGACTAATAATGTGCATGCCATGCTATGTAGTCATCTCAAACCTGCACAGTGAGAGTAAATAGAGAACTTAGCATCCCATTAATCCTCATTCAAACTTTATACAGTAACAAATCAAAGAGAATGTTAGTGGCTGCTTAGCTCAATTTGAAATTGTTGTGAGAGTGAGTATGCAAATCATACTCTGTATGTCACTTCAACCTGCACAAACAGTATAATAATCACTTTAATGTTTACATTGGATCATTTCAAGTCTTATTCAAGATATTTGTACTCACTCTATAGTTGACCATTGTTAGATGTTTTTGCCACACATGCTCTGTATTCATTGAGGCATATGGACAGTGAGTGGCAACCTGACCAGCTATGGTTATGCAAACCATACTCTGTGTTTGACCCAAACCTGCACACACAAATTAAGCTTGGTTAGTTGTATTTAACCATACTATATAAATAAACAGGATTGGATTTGGGCTTAGAATGTACCTTGCTAATTCTCTATGTGTGTGTGCAGTTTGGAGATTTTTGGGTGGCAGCAAGGATTGTGTTCATTGATGATCCTGAGTGGTACTATGCTTCGTGTAGAACAAAGGGTTGCAACAAAAAGCTGAAAATGAAAGGTAACTGGCTGTGGTGTTCTACATGTGACAGGAATTGGGGGGATGGAACCTTGAGGTACAGGGTTAAAGTGAGGGTTGTGGACTTGGATGGGAATGCTCTTTTCCTTCTATGGGACAAGGAGTGCCTTGATCTACTTGGTGTTAGTGCAGATGATTTGAATTCTTCCCATACTAAGGTACTAAATGGTGATTAATATACCAATTCTTAACTAATTTACCAATTGTTTAAATTTCCTATGTACACAAACTTTTAAAAATTAAAATTAATTACGTGCAGGGCCGAAAGGGGCTACCTAAGGAGCTTGAGACTCTAATTGGATTGAATCTACTCTTTTGAATTGCTGTTCGCAAATAACAGTTCCAAAACTACCTTAATGCCTTCCCTATTATGAGGATCATCACTGATGAAAAGGTTGTAGAAAAGCATGCACCAGAGCTAGTTGGAGTTAGGGACCGGGACCTCAGTTCGAAATTGGAGTTGGAGCTTACAGACGATGATCTATGGGATCTAGAGGTATAATTGGGGCTACAGAGTATTGTATTATACTATTATACTAATTACTTTAAAAATGCAAATTATTTAGTACTTACAGTTTCAAATCTCTATTTTGTAGGAAATGACCAAGCAAATGAAGCTGAAAGTCCTCTACAAGTTGTTGCACAGAGGCTGAATGCAGAGAACACCATTGAGAATGGCACTGTCAAGAGATTCCTGATTGATGAATTTTCCAGCACACAAAGTTCTAAAAAAAGCAAGGAAGCTGTGGTCAAAATTGAGAAATAATGAATGTGTAATGAGTAGAATGTCTGGGATGTGCTCAACAATATTTTTTTTGAATGGTTTTGTGAGGACACACTTGTGATGGTCCTTAGACAGTTTGACAACATTTTTAGACTATCTCTTTTTTTAATTGGTTGCAGTTCGCAAAGATTATCTTATGTTATTAGTAAGGATAATTTTTTATCCTTTCTGCAATTGTTTTTTTTTTTTTTTTTTTTTTTTTTTTTTTGTTTGTAGGTACTAAAGAAGACAGTGATTCCACATAAAGCAAACGAGTATTAACATCCCGCGATGGAAAAAGACAATGTAGATAGTATATATTAGCATATGTATATAACTTCAATTGTAATTTGTTAATGTAAAACGTTAGTGGGCAGATCAATGTAAGATAAAGCTTAGTGATTAATTATAATTTTCCATGTTCTATTCCTAACAATGTAAAGATTGTAAATATGAACTCTTTTTTTTTTTTTTTAATCTAATCCTAAAGGCACTTATCCATCACTTCTATTTAGATTACATGCTATTAATAACTATACACTGATTACTAAACTATTTATACAAAGAGTACAAAACTAAATTAGTTAGTAAAAGATATATCTCACCATGTATATTTGTTGCTGTCACTCCCTTCTTCATTTTTGTGATCACCAAAAGCAAAGCATGTTGGTATCCAATTTTGAGCACGCTGAATACATGTAAACAGCATATTAACATTGTACTTAATATAAGGTAACAAAAATAAAAATAAAAAAAATCCTAGAGGTATTTCAATAAAAATGTAATATAACTTCATCCTAGAGGTATTTCAATAAGCCTAACATAACCAAATAAAAAAAAAATCCAATCAGATCTTATTAATATTTTCAGTAAACTTGAACTTATAAACCTTAAAATAAAAATACTCTAATAAAGTAAAGAGACAATTTGATTTCAGGTGAGTTCAGAAAGCATACTATAATGCAGATCAAAATATAGCTCAGATATATTACATTGAGTACATGAGTAGGGAACACACGTTTACTTAAGTATAGTGATAGCTAATTATGGAATTAAAACTTATCTTTTATAATGAAAGTACAACTGAGTTTGACAACGTGTGCATTATAAGGTCCCCTCGAGGCCACAGCCATGTTCACAACAACTTGCAATATAAACTCTCTTCAAAATCCTTTGAACCATCATAGATTATGTAGCAGCTTGCCTGCATTTTTGTCCACAATAATTAAATTAAGATACCATTGTCATTCAAATGGCGTAAACTATAATCACGGTATTAGAAAGTACATGATCATTGTATTATATATAGAGATTTTGCATTTACCATGTGTTGACACCAAATTTGTAATTGATGCTAAACAACTTTAAGATGAACTTTCTATTTGGTGATATAGATTCCACAAGATAATTACCTGTATCAAGGGAGAATAAAATAGGGATTTGTTAGAAACAATGTAATAATATTATTTTTAAAAAACAATATATATGAAAGTAGATTTTAAACTATTGTCTAGGCTTAAAACTTATCTTTGAGGCTTCATTAGCAACTGTAAGTACCAAACTGGATAACATTGGTAGTTAGTTAGTGAAAACATGTCACCACATGTTCACAAACACATCTCTTTTTATATGCAAGCTACCTGAAAAACAACATAGTAGCTTAATCAGCATCTTATTATATTTCAGAATAATTGTACTAATGAATAATCAATAAAATTATTAGGAGGAAATACTAATAATATGCAACTAGCACGTATATTCATATCACTATGCATTAAGTAGCACAACTAAAACTTTTAGTATTCCAACTTGATTTATATTGGCCAGTTTCCAATGTTGTGCTACCAATCTTGGTTGTGAAGTCTGTACTACTATATAACAATCAACATAGACATATTCTTATTCTCTCTGCATCAACACCTAAACAAAACTGCTAATTAGAACTGCAGAAAATACATTTCCAGACGAACACATGAAGAAAATTACAACTTCAACCACGATTGGTGCAAAGCGAAAGCAGAACAGCAACAACCCAGGTAATACTATATACTCTTATCCTTAATTATATTAATCTCTGTTAGATTATAGCCCTAAATACTATCTAAAAGCATATAAACCCTATGCATATGTTCTTGCTCCAAATACTATCTCAAACGCTATAAACTATATAAATTCCAGTATATATGTGTTGTGATATACATGAAGAAGATTTCTAAACAAATTTCATAATACACGAAGAAGATTTCTAAAAATTAGGTCTAGAAGCTGTCGTTTTAGATAGATATATATACAAACTACTTAGATCTGAAAATGTAGAAGAGATAGGGTTAGAAATCCTTACCCAACTTCTTATAAATTATAGAAATGGTGTAGGAGAACACCCATTTCTGCCTTGGTCCATCGTTGAGCAATCGACACATCTGCTACCACCAAGCTTCGATCTACCTAAACCCATGACAGCCGGCTGTACATGTATAGTGCTCATATATAGCACGAAACACCGTTGATAAATCCGAATCGGGGTTTTGACTATGGTCTTAACACTCAGATTGAGTATTGTTGAGTCGTATGCGTCAACCTATACTTCACAATAAGATCATCTTGATCGCGAATCCATAGTATAGAGGGGTCGAGATGGCCAAATCGAACCCTAACCGGAGTAATGAACTCCATTTTTGTGAGAGAACCCACAATGGGATGAGTGTGTTGAGCTTAGAAAAGAGCCTGGTAGGTGTATCTGGAAGGGAAGGACAGCGGTGAACATCACCCAAGGAGGCCAGCTGTAGACATCACCGCATTTCTCCTTTATTATTATTATTATTATTATTATTATTATTATTATTATTATTATTATTATTATTATTATTATTATTATTATTATTATTATTATTAGGATTATTGTGTTTATTATTATTAATATTAGTAAAATATTATTATTGCTATATCAATTTGGTTATTATAACACTGAAATGTATTATTATAAAACAAATACATGTATTATTAGTATGGTAGTGATATTATGTATTCATTTGATTGTTTAATTGTCCTAAGCATAAATTTGATTATTATTTACTCATAATAACAATCACGTAATCGCAGTCCGCATAAATATTATTATTATTATGTAAACACTAAGTTTAATTGTTTATGTATCACAACTTCATGTACTCAATTGTTTATTAATTTTAATTATTATTAATTACTATCCTATTTGTTATTAATTATTATTAATGCAGATAGTTGTATTACTCTGATTGATTAATTAAAGTACATCTCGGTATGAGTAACCAAAATGGGTCGACCAAATAATACATCTGTATTGATAACATTGTATATTTCTAACAGATAATGAAGATATCAATGTCAATGGTGGAGTGTACATGTCGTTCCTTCAATCTAACAAGAATACAAGAATGGGTACACCGCTAATTGGTGTTTTCCAAAGTTCACTAAGTACGCCTTTAAATATTCTTACAAATGGTAAGTGTTTTCATTTGGAACAGTTCACTACGTTAATGAATCGTTGTTAACATTAGTCGTCATTGCAATTGACAGGTGACAATGCGGTTCGAACGACAATACGGACTACCCCAATCCAAGATTTTGGTAGCAGAATGGCATTAAGAAACATATCAAATAGTAATTAGCTAAACCAATATTACCAAATTTTTAGTAAATAAATGATATAACAATCAAATTGGACAATTATTATTCTAACGTGTGTTTTTTACGCCTGTTGACTAATTAAAGTAAATGTAACTCGAGCTACCGGGGACCTTGATAAATCACCGCTAACCAAGCGCCATAATCATTTGTTTGACCTAAATAGATCACCACTCTCGCAAGGTAATAAAGGTGAAATTGAGTAAATAATCTATAATCACCTGGGTTATAGATTATTCATTTAGAGGTTTTTTTCCCTAATTCACAGGTTCTTCTCCGGGGAGAACGCCAATACAGACTACGTCAACGCAAGTTTGCGGTAGCAGAATTCCGTTTAGCAACATAACAAATAGTAATAATCTCAAACAGCATATTGTAATAATATTACTATGATTTATCGTGTAGCCGAATGGAATAATAAATAGTCTAACAGGTCATTTTACAATTTCTGTTTAATTATAGCAAACGACGAAACAGTTATTGGAGACCGCGCCATACCAACTACATCCAACTGTCGGGATCGGTGCTTCGACCTAAATCGATCACCAGATTCGCAACTAGGTATCAATATATTACCAGAAGGCGTTTCTTATTGCCAAGTAAATATTAGATTGGATGTAATAATCATGTAATATATTATATAATCGTTTCTGTAGGACTTGAAAGTAATTGTTGTATTACAAATGACAACAACATGCAAATAGTCGTCGTAGAGTCGGATACTGAACCCATCAAGCATTGTCGAAATTTGATATCAGATTTCCAGGGAGTTGTGGACCATTTGCATGAAAATGTGCCAACAAAAAATGGTGAGTTCATATTAAATGTTGTCCAACGAATACGTACTATCTTTTTACTACAATGAACTACATTATTTTGTTACATATGAACTAATATCAATTTTTTTTTATAGACTATTATTTTGATAGTGGTGATCCCGAGTACGTTTGCGAGCATTGTAATGCCTTTTTTTGGTACAATGAACGGTCAAGCAATTCAAGATCATGTGACAGCCCTAAATACACCGCATGTTGTGTGAATGGTAAGATAAAGTTTCCATTGATGACAAGGCCTCCTCAAAAGTTGTATGATCTATTCTTTACATCAAGTGATAAAAACAAATGTTTTTTGAAGAATATAAGGTCATATAACAATATGTTTTGCTTCACGTCAAAGGGTGGGAAGATTGATAGAACTATTAACAATGGAAAATCACCTCCCATATTCCGTATAAATGGTCAAAATTTCCACCGCATTGGAACTCTACTACCGGCACTCGGCACTCAACCTAAATTTGCACAATTATACATTCACGATACAGAGAATGAGATACAAAATCGCTCCAACTCTTTCAGGTATAATAATATTCGGGGCTACTAAACTATTTTGTTCCTGTCATTTTTAAATACTGGAAAGCTTATATTATATATTTTTATCTCTTAGGACGGAAAGCAATGGTTCTGCCGTGCATCTTGATGTAGTTCATGACATTAAGCAAGATCTAGATGATCACAATGTTTTGGTTAAGTCATTCCGAATGGCCAAGTCATTTATGCAATCTAATCCTACAAGTGAAATTAGAATGAGATTAATCGGGAAGAGATCTAAAGATGCCAGAACGTATGCACTACCAACTGCTTCAGAGGTTGCTGCTCTCATTGTTGGAGATCTAGAACCTTGCATGGGTGAACGTGATATCGTGGTCGAGTCTAGATCTAGAATGCTTAAACGAATTAGTGAATTAAACCCAGCGTATCTACAATTGCAATACCCAATTTTATTTCCATATGGGGAGGATGGTTTCAGGGAAGATATACATTTTGCCACACATAGTAATAAACAAAATTTTGCAAGAAAGAGTGTTTCACAAAGAGAGTACTTCGCGTTCCGTATTCACGAAAGATCAAATGAGATCTCAACTATATTGTACGCTAAAAGGTTATTCCAACAATTCTTGGTTGATGCGTATACTATGGTTGAATCTTCGAGGTTGCTATACATTAGGTCCAATCAAAAAACTTTAAGATGTGAGGCGTACAAAGGTCTTTCTGATGCGTTAACAAGAGGTGAAGTGCAACCTAGCTCTCAAGGTAAAAGGATAATATTACCTTCAAGTTTCACGGGAGGAGCAAGATACATGATACAGAACTACCAAGACGCCATGGCAATTTGCAGATTTATAGGTTATCCAAACCTGTTTATTACTTTTACATGTAATCCTAAATGGCCCGAGGTTCAACGCTTTTTGGAGAAAAGAAATTTGAAAGCTGAAGATCGTCCGGACATTGTTTGCCGAATTTTCAAAATGAAGCTAGATTGCTTAATAAAAGAAATAAAAAATGGGAAACTGTTTGGTCCTATGAGGGCAGGTGCGCACCGCATTTCCTTATAAAATCATTTTCTAATACACTACTTAATCATACGAATTCTAGAACTAACATCATGTAATTGTTTTTGCAACAGTAATATACACAATTGAGTTTCAGAAACGGGGTCTCCACATGCTCACATATTATTGTTCCTACAAGGGACGAGTTGCTTTGCCAATCCTGCTTTTATGGACACGATAATTTCGGCCGAGATCCCAGACAAATTGATAGACATCGAGTATTACAAAGCGGTCGAAGAATTCATGTTGCACGGCCCATGTGGTGTTGCCAGGAGTAATTCACCGTGCATGGTAAATGGCAAGTGCTCGAAGCATTTTCCAAAGAGATTTATTGATGCATCCCATTTTGACCAGGATGGTTACCCGTTGTATCGAAGAAGGGATGATAAGAGGACAATTAAAAAAAATTGAATAGAATTGGACAATAGGTATGTTGTACCACATAATCGGTACTTGCTCTTGAAATACAAAGCACACATCAATGTAGAGTGGTGTAACCAATCTAGGTCAATCAAGTACTTATTCAAGTATGTCAACAAGGGTAACGACCGTGTAACGGCTGAGTTTTATAAGACTACAATGGATGAAGCTGGTAATGAGATGGTGGATGAAATAAACATGTACTATGATTGCCGGTACATCTCTGCATGCGAGACCGCATGGCGGTTGTTTAGTTTTGAAGTTCAGTACAGGACTCCACCAGTTGAGCGACTAAGCTTTCACTTGCCTGACTGCCAATCTGTTGTGTTCCAAGACGATGATACCATTGATCATGTCCTGAATAGAGAAACCGTTGGGCAAAGTATGTTTAACGCATGGTTTGTAGCCAACCAGAAGTTTAAAGAAGCGAGCTTATTAACTTACATTGAGATGCCTACCAAATTTGTGTGGAAAAAGGACATCCGTGAATGGCATCCAAGAAAGAAGGGTTTCTCAATTGGTCAGATATTCTATGTCCCACCAGCATCAGGAGAAATTTATTATTTAAGGTGTCTATTGAACATAGTTCGTGGTCCAAAATGCTTCCAAGATATTAGGACAGTTAATGGTGTTGAGTACTTGACCTTTAGAGATGCATGTTAATGAAGCAAGCTACTGGTCATCTGCATATTCATTAAGGAAGCTATTTGTTGTCTTACTAACATCCTCATCAATTATTAGACCCGAAAATGTTTGGAATCAGGTGTGGCAACATTTGTCTGAAGATGCTCAACACTATCAAAGAAGAATATTAAAACAACCAGGTAATGTACGTACTTTTTGTTTATACAATAAATTCAATTAAGTTATAAGGATAATTATCTGACTGTTTGCATCGTAACAGATTTGGTCTTAACAGAGGAAGAGAAAAAGAACTTTGCATTGTTCGAATTGGAAAACCTATTGGGGCATCAAAATAAATCTTTAAAAGACTATCCTCCGATGCCAATACCAAGTACATATAATTCAAGGTTGTTTCAGAATAGGTTGATATTTGAAGAGTTGGCTTACAATTGTGAGCAGTTGAAAGAAGATGCTGAAGTGTTGTGTGCAAAACTAACTGAAGAACAGAGTCTCATCTATGATACGGTTATACAAGACATTGAAGAAGGTAAAGGTGGCTTATTTTTTGTTTATGGTTACGGTGGAACAGGAAAGACTTTTTTGTGGAGAGCGTTGTCAGCTGCAATCCGATCCAAAGGTAAGATTGTTTTAAATGTGGCATCAAGCGGCATAGCTTCTCTATTGTTACCAGGTGGCCGTACTGCTCACTCGAGATTTGCAATACCTATTGCAATAAATGAAGACTCAACCTGTAACATTAAGCAAGGTAGCGAGCTGGCTGAATTGTTGATAAAGACGAGTTTGATAATATGGGATGAAGCTCCCATGATGCACAAACATTGTTTTGAAGCATTAGATCGAACTATGAGGGATTTGTTGCGTTTTGTAGACCCGTGTAGTGAAATGAAGACGTTTGGTGGTAAAACAGTTGTTTCGGGTGGAGATTTCCGTCAAATCCTCCCGGTAGTCCCAAAAGGTACACGGCAAGATATTGTTTCTTCAGCCATAAATTCATCATACCTATGGGATAGTTGCAAAGTTTTAAGGTTGACTCAAAACCTTAGACTATGTTCGGTACCCAATGGTGGAAATCGGTAGGCCTTACAAGAATTTGCCGATTGGATTGCTAATGTCGGTGATGGAAAGCTGGGTGGGCAGAATGATGGTTTCGCAGAGGTTGAAATTCCAAAACACATGTTACTGTCAGCTGGAGCGGATGATATTAAAACAATTGTGCAGAGTACATTTCCTATGTTTGCAAATGGAAACACTGACCCCGAGCATCTAATAGGTCGTGCTATATTAGCATCAACGCTCGATGTGGTCAACGCAGTCAATGAATATATGACTGAGTTGCATAATACCGAAAGCATATCGTACTTCAGTTCAGATGCAGTATGCAAAGCCGATGGCGACAACGGTATATTTGGAGATGTACACACACCGGAATTTCTAAACAGCATTAGGGTTTCAGGTCTACCAAATCATGCATTGACTTTGAAAATAGGATCCCCGGTAATGTTAATGAGAAACATTGACCATTCTCTTGGTTTGTGCAATGGGACTCGGTTGATAATCACAAAGTTAGCAGACCATGTTATTGAAGGCGAGATTCTGACTGGACCTAACAAAGGTACAAAAGTGTTAATCCCCCGAATGTCAATGTCACCCTCTGATCCAAGATTGCCGTTCAAATTTCAACGAAGGCAATTCCCAATTATGATTTCATATGCAATGACCATTACCAAAAGTCAAGGACAAACGTTGACTCATGTTGGTTTAATACTAAAGAAACCGTTTTTTGTACACGGCCAGTTGTACGTTGCTGCATCTCGGGTTAATAATCCAGACGGTCTCAAAATATTGATAGTCAAAGACCCAACTTCAACTACTTCATCAACCACTAATGTTGTATATCATGAGGTTTTCAATAATCTGTAATTTTGTAAAGTCCTCTTTTATTAGTTCCATGACCTTGCAACTATTTGTAATATACCATTTTCATATTGTTTTTGTTGAATTTCCAATCATATTTCATTTATATGTTATCAATTTTAAGCTCATTAGTTCTCACAATTTGTAACATAACATACACACAATAAATACTTTTTAATTTACATACCGTGCAGCGCACGGGTCAAATACTATTACTGAAGAATAAAAAGCAATTATATATGTCAATAATAGATGTAAATTGGAGAAATGGCCATAATGGATAATGAAATCTATTTCACAAGCTAAGGTTGTCCATGGCCATGTCTTATTAGGGCGACACAGGTGACACCCAAGTTTTGGGGTTCAATTTTTTTTACTTATCTTAAAGGCAGATATAATTTATTACTTTTATGCTTGATAATAATGTTTATAAAATTCAAAAGGTGGTTTTAATTGAAATTGAAAATAAAACTTTAAAAGAAATTGATATTTAAATTTTGGCTAACAATTTTGTATCTAATAAATATACAATAAAATGTCATTTTTAAGATAAATTTTAAATTGTATTTCTTTTCTTTATTGAATATTTGAATGTTTATGCATTTTATTTTGACAAAAAAATAATTTATTTTACACTTTTTTTTTTATTTGTACATATATAATAATTTAAATAAAACTTGATCTAAATTTAACTAATAGACAAGACCCCCATTTTTAGGGGAGGGTACTGTACTCTTTCATATATACAAATGATGACATATAACTAGTACACAGATCATAACCAAGCAGGATATGAATTTAATATTCAAGACATAGTAAAATTAAAAATAGAAAAAGAAAGAGAAAGGTGTTTATTGTTAGTATTAATATAGCGCACACATAGACGGGCGGGATTGATATGATGAAGTGAAATGGAGGTTTTCTCAGCACTTGGGAATTGTAACCTTGCAGAGTTCATTGGCTTTCTTGGCAGCTGGGGACTTGATGATATACTCATTCAGAGTGGGACTCTTGACGTATTCGCAGAAGCAAGGCTTATGTTGATTAAGCCTCTCGCAGCAGAGTGGTGATGGGTTGGCATTGAGCGTTAAGGCGCTAAAGCAAGGGTCGAGCTGCTTCGCGTCGCAAGCAGCCAACGAAAATTGTGCTTCTCCCAAGAGAAGCAATACAACTGCTAGTGTGATGAGGTTAAAGGCCTTCATTTTTGTTAGCATTAATGCAATTGATCTGATCTGATCTGATAATATAATCATCTCTCAAGGCCCCATATATATATGGACATCCAGTTAACGTGTAAGAGGAAACTTGGGGCTATGATGCATCTTTGGCTTAGTGATTCGGAGAATTTATAGAGAGATTTTGGATGTTAATTAACCAATGGTAAATCTTACGTGCAGCATGTTATTTACCTTTGTGCTTATGTATGTTAGGCACCGTACTCTCATCTAATGGCTATGAGAAAATGTTAAGTTAATTGGTTTGAAGCTTCATTGTTTTTTGGTTTTTATTATTATTATTATTATTATTATTATTATATATATATATATATATATATATATATATATATATATATATATATATATATATAGGCGGGTTCAGGTGTGGTAGTGTCTTACGGTGCGGTTATTTCTTACGGTGCGGCAACACCAATAGTTCACCAAATATGCACCATCAACGTTAGGAAATACACCACACAAAACAGAGTAAACAGAGCCCTGCATCACCAAACACACACCATTAGGTGTGAGTAAAAACACCATACACTGTTCGGAAATACACCATTGGGGGTGGTGAGTTATATGGTGTATTTTTTTGAGTCTGTGGTGTATTTTGTGATGTTTTATTACATTTCATTGGGGTGTGTTTTTATTACACTGTTGGTGCATATTGTTAACACTGTTGGTGTATTCTGGAATTTGACCGCACCGCCGCACCGTAAGACCCCGCCGCATATTAGCGCTCTTCTATATATATATATATATATATATATATATATATATATATATATATATATATATATATATATATATATATATATATATATATATATATATATATATAGATTAAAAATCATATAAGAACTCATCCTTAGGTAGGAACATAGGAACTCATCATAGCCATTTATTTAGGGTGATCAATGGTTTAGATTAAAACATATTTTTATGAGATTTTAAGGTTGATCTTTATTTATTTTAGATAGTTGGAGGGTATTATGGGTATTTTAGTGCATAGTGAACTATGAAAATTGCGAGACCTTCTCCTTAGTTCCCACACTTCCTCTGCATCTACGAAGGAAACCATTGATCCATCGCCTCCACGCCTGTGTTTTGTCGATCTGCTCCACGACGACGACAACAATTGTCTACAATCTTTTAAATCATTCGGTACGTCCTGGCGAATTGAATATAGCCAATATCCACTCAAAACCAATTTTAATGTGGCTAATTTTAGGGAAAACGGCGAGGAAACCAAGTGGCAAACATTAGAGCCATTTGTGTTTAGTATATCAAATCTTCATTCTGTGTTTAATATATCAAATCATTACCATTTGTGTTTGATTTTGTATGTGGCCATTGTGTATTCTTACTGACAGTATTTATTCTACATTGTGGCACACACAGTTCAACTCAGATGCACATCAGCTTGTTTTACATTTTTCATACACATTAATTCTGCAGAGTAGGGCACGCACACTCAAGCCTAAGTGCACACCCCAGTCTATCAAATCGACCTGGTTATTGATTATACATACTAACATTATTATTGCACATTATGGCATACTGATTGCTATAATCTGCAAGCGCACAGAGTCAATCACAGTATAAATTCCTGGAGTATTCCAGGGTCGATCCCACGAAGAACACTATTAACTGTTATCTTAAATAATCAAATTGTTGATAAGGAAATTCGCAAATAAATAGAATTAATGTGATTAAAAGAATATTTATGAATTTAAAGCAAAGGGAAACTCTAATTAAGAGAAGACTAGGGATTTGGGTTCACCTATTAGATAATTAACTAACTCTCCTAAATATTAATTCTTATAACTATAGTGATGATTGCCTCATATATATCCTAATACTCCGTCGAGCTACTAGGTTGTATCCAATTAACTGTGATCATCCGTCGATATCTCACCAACATTAATTAAACCCATTAAGAAACAATCAAATATCACCACAAATACCTAAAGCTATGTCTAGTTTAGGTCAATTGTGTTTATCTTACGAGTTCTAGGTTCATAATTCACCTGTCAGTTCTTCTTATGAACCCTAATATTAGAATTATGTAATGGCCAGTCACACAATCCACAATTAAAACACATAAAATAAATATAATCAAATTCAATTATTAAACTGAAATTAGAAGAATCAACACATGAAAAATAGTCAATTAATCTAATATAGGCTAATCCAAATCCCTAATTAAAGTTCTAGCCAATAATCATAATTAAATGCATAAACAATTCAAAGAATATTATTCTGGAAATTTAAACAAGAAATAAAATAGAGAAGAAAAATAATTCAAGCCTAAGAGATGATAGCTGTGATTGAAGCTCAGAAATTCCTCTGCGATGAAGCCTCGAATGTCTTCTGCCTCCTTTCCTCGCCGAAGACCCCTACTGCTTCTCCCCAGGCTTTCGTTTTTTCCCTTCGCCCTCTTTTTTCTTTCTGCTCCCGTCTACCGCCGTACGCACCCCAAACCTAAAACTATTTATAAAGGGTTCTTTTTCCCTTATTTTTCTTTTTCTTTCTTTTGGGATACGCAAGAAGGCAAAACTCATTTCCCTTTTCTTTCTTTATTGCTGCGCAACTAACTCCAATGAACACAAAATAAAATAAACTAAAGTTAAATTAATAATAATTATAAACTAATGACACAATTTAATAAAACCAAGTAATAAAATACTATAGCTAAAATAAAATACTATTATATTCATAAAAATGCAACATTAATCTAATACTTATTAAAACCAATCTAAACTAGTAACATACATATAAATGTAATATCTATAATAAAATTGACCCTAAAACTTAATTTATTTATGCAACTCACTAACTAAAATTACTTTAAATAATGCCTAGAAATTGAGCTTATCACATACACAGTGCTGCCTAAGTGCACAACAAGTTGTTTTTTGTCTTTTCCCTTACGATTGTGCTTGATTTTGTTGTTTGCCAATTTCTAATGTTTTTCATCGTTGTTCGCCCTTTGTCAGAAAGATTTATGGTCTGTGGTCCTTGATGATGTGGTTGATGATCGGTGTGGGGTTGTCGTACGGAATTGAAGCTTGTTCCTAGAAGAATACAGAAGCTTTGGCGTGATGCACGTAACAAAGTGGATGACTTATATGCGTCAGATTTTTTTGATTGATCGAGTTTAACATACACCATTTGAAGAACTTCCGTAGTGCAGTTGAATACCGTGACGTTGTTGAACAATGCTACCTATGTGTGCTCATTTGAGCAGGTTGATCAGTACTTTTGCTTAGTTCACATTTAGGCTCATTTATGTATTCTATTTATGATGTGACAGAGTAATAGGACAAGCACCCGACCCGGCCACCAACAAGCACCTAACTCGATACCTAGAAGTCCAACGGGCATAATCATTTACTAGGGGGTCATTTACTACCGCTTATTTAAGACAGAGTTTAAGAGAAATAAGGTGTTCGGCACCTCATTATGATATAATCGTTACTTACCATTAGCAGGGTAGTATAAGTAGGAGATTCTTTGTTAAGCAAGGGTACACATTCTGATTCTTGTACTGAAACACTTAGCAATACAATTTGTTACATATCGATTATGTTCTCTGGTAACATATTTACCGTCATGATGTTTGGAATTTATTCATCGGATCTTTTATGTGTTTTTTGTTTTTTTTTATTGGTTGACGCTTTGCTCTAATTTATTCCTCAGGTGTTATGTTGTTTTTTGGTTTTTTAATGAACATTTCTGTGTTTTGTTTATGATGTTGGAAATTTAACGTTGAGTGCAACAGTC